CTGATGGAGAAGCTGTCCGGCGCGCCGGGGTCCTCCTCGGCCCGGGGGGCCGTGGCCAGTCGGAGAGCGGCTGCACGCAAGAGAGGGCCTTTCGGGCGCGGCCTAACCGCCTCACCAACCCGTAGCAAAGCATCCCCTTTCTGTGACGCCGTCCTCACCTCTCGAGCCTCCCCTTCTGGCCGCACGCATAACGTCTAGGGGCGAGGCGAGGGGGATGTCACGGGAGGGGATGGTTTGCTAGGGGTCGGTTAGGCCGCCCCTGGGCACTCATGAAAGCAAAAAGAGCCACCACGAACAGAACTCCATGATTAGTTATTCGTTCCCAAAGGACCCCCCCCGGCTGGTGCTAGTGGTTCTTTTTCCTCCGGTGATGCACGCAATAGTGGGCATAGGGTGCACGTGTTCGTAAGGTTCTCGGACGCTCTCGTCGATTCCTGGGGGTGTCCCTGCCTCTCCAGAAGCAGCGCCTCGCCGAGAGCGTTCTGGGGCTACCCCATTGGTCACGAACGGCTGCGGGAGACAAAAGTTCTGTCGGGGAGACGCAACATGACAAAATACTCGGGTTCGGGGGACTCGGGTTGGCCTGATGCGGCCACCATGAGAATGACGAGACCCAATCTAAAACTTGACGCGAACTCCCGCTGCAACCATCCCACGAAAACTGGACCGTCAACGTCCAGGACGCGCTCGTCACAGCGTCGGCAAGCCCGAGTTCTCGCACACTCGAGTCTTACGTCCCCCGAGTATGACCCGAAAACCGGACTCGGCGGCGAGCGCGGGGGAGAAGTGAGAAGGAGAAGGCCTTCTCAGAAGCCTCGAAAGTCCCCCAGCCTTCTGAGAAGCTCTGTTAAGCCTTCCCCGAGGACACAACAAGAACCTCACAGATGGCGTGAGGGCTTCTGAGAAATCCCGCCGCCTTCTGAGTGGGCCTTCTCCCTCTGAGCGTGCCGCCGAAAATCTGTCAAAATGGGTCCCTTGGCCCCTCCCAGGGTCCATCCGACCCGTCAATTCTAGGCCCGTGGGACACTGGGCCCCAGGGCCGTCGCAAAGCGATGAAAAAACCCGAGCCGACCCCGAACTCCAGGGGTCGGTACTGGGAAAGAACGCGATGCTGGAGTTCTGGGGAGGAATGGGCGGTGGGCGGAGGAGGCGAACAAATTCTGGAGCTTCTGGGCCCTGTTTGGCCTGCATCGGCCCCTGGGGCATCTAGGAACCTGCGAAGCCCTGACCCAGACGACAACGACGACGACCACGACGTGGACGACGACTACCACGACAAAGACAACGACTACGACTACGACGACGACGACGCAACGACGACGACCGACAAAGACGACGACGACGACGACGACCACGATGACGACGACGACGACGACGACGACGACGACGACGACGACGACGACGACGCGCGAGGCCCGCGCGGGGCACGCGCTGCGTCCTCCGGTCCTGCGCCCACCCGGGGCTTTGTGGGGAAGCGCCGGCGTGCGTCCAGAAGGGCGCACCTGCGAGAGCGGCCGAGCCCAGGATACACTCCCAGAGATCTGACGCTCTAAAAAAATTGGAGCGGGCGGATTTTGGCTGAGTTCAGCCTCCGGGGGCCCTCGCTGGGCTTCGGGAGCGCCCAAAAACGATTCAGAGCGAGAAACTGGCCCTAGGGAAGTGGTCCTGACCTCTGGGGCCCACGCATCGAAAACAATTGGAGCAACCGGATGTCTGGGCTCTGACTCTCGATCCCTGTGATTCGTGAGCGGGGGTGCGCGACAAAGAAGAAGAAAGACGACGTCGACTTCGACGTCGAAAACGACGACGGCGACGACAGAGAGGAGGGGATGGGAGTGTGTGTGTGTGTGGTGCGTGGTGTGTGGTGTGTGGTGTGTGGTGTATGGTGTGTGGTGTGTGGTGTGTGGTGTGTGGTGTGGTGTGTGGGTAATGTGTATGTGTGTGTATGTGTGTTTGCGTGTTTGTATGTTTGTGTGTTTGTGTGTTTGTGTGTCTGTGTGTCTGTGTCTGTGTGTGTTTGTGTGTATGTGTGTGAGTTTGTGTGTGTGTTGGTGTCTGTGTTTTGATATGCTCTGGAATCGTTGGCCTCTCGCGGAGCGAGAGAGCGAAGCGAGGCGAAACGGGGCGCTCTCGCGCCTCCCGCCGTGGAGGAGAGCGGCTGTCCGGCCAAGACTTTGGAGCGCGGTCAGCGTCGCGGACCCGTGGGTGACCTGGGCGAACCTGGGCCATGCGGGCAACCGAGGTGAACATGACTCCTCCTCCTTCTCCTGCTCCCTCCTCCCCCTCCTCCTCGCTCCTCCTCCTCGCTCCTCCTCCCTCCTCCTCCTCCCTTCTCCTCCTCCTGCATCCTCCTTCCTCCTTCCTCCTCCTCCCTCCTCCTCCTGACTCCGCCGAGCGGTCTCACCCTGATCGCCCCCGTGCCTCTCCTGCTGCCGTTCTCTGCCGTGCCTCCGGCGCCGCAGGCCCCGCCCCAGGGGGGCTCCTCCTCGAAGGACCCTCG